CCTAAGCTCCCTAAACCCTAAACCCCGACTAAACCCTTAAATCCCTAAACCCCTAAAGTTTCGGGGGTTTGGGGGGCTTAGGGTTTAGGGTTTTGGGGGTTTAGGGGGTTTGGGGGGTTTAGGGGGCTTAGGGTTTAGAGTTTAGGGTTTAGGGAGCTTAGGGTTTAGGGCTTAGGGGGTTTAGGGTTTAGGGGGCTTAGGGGATCTAGAGTTTAGGGGGTTCAGGGTTTAGGGGGCTTAGGGTTTAGGGTTAAAGCTTGGGGTAATGAAGGAGCTTCACCGTCGTCGATTTCCGGTGCTGTTAGATTTTCCCGTCATAGACCTTGTGGGTATGTGGGTAGTTCTCTAAGTTAGGGTCCCTTTCTAGGTGCCAAAACCCAAAACCCTAAACCCTAAACCCTAAACCCTAAGCCTCCTAAACCCTAAACCCTGAGCCCCCTAAACCCTAAAGCCCTGAACCCACAACCCCAGAATCGAAGCCCTAAACCCTAAACCTAAACCCTAAACCCGAAACCCTAAACCCTAAACCCTAAACCCTATCCATCTCAGCCCGGAGGCTCGCTCGGTGGTGATGGTAGGCGTACGCGCTGAGATGCGTCTGGCTGAAGAAGTGACGGATGCTCAGACACGCGAAAATCAGCCCGAAGGGGCCTCGGAGCTTTGGGATTCAAGGGGCAGGGGCCTTGAAATCAGGGTTTAGGGCTTAGGGTTGAGGGTTTGGGGTTTAAGGTTGAGGGTTTAGGGTTTAGGGTTTTGGGCTTAGGAAGGGAATGTCCTTTGAATCACGATAAGGATCCGTCTAAACGCTTCAAGCATCTTCCTTATGATTCTAGCGTGAAATCCACCCAAAGTCCCAGGCCTGCAACTTCACGGCCTGTGTCAGAAGCCCTAAATCCCTGAACTTCAAGACCTCCACCCCTGCTTGGAGGTTAAGGGGTGGTTCTAAGTAGGCCTAGAAGTAGGGTAAACCCCAAACCCTAAATCCTAAACCGTAGGCCCACTTAGATCTGCCCATGAACCTCCCACAAGAACACGAAACCTCAGCCTATCTCACGGCTTCAGTTCTTGGGACTGCGGATAAACTGTGCACTAGATGTGTAGGTAGGGCTGCAAGTACCCTAAACCCTAAACCCTTACCCTACTTTCGTTGAGGGTTTAGGGCCAGTTTAGGGTTTTTTCAAATTCATACACTTCTCGATGGGTGGGTTTAGGGTTGAGGGTCGGAGGGAGCAAACAGAGGTGGCTTTTCCCTTACTTGCCTCAGCTATGACACTGTGAAGCAGCGATCCTTCAAGCAGGACTGTAAGGGGGTTTGGGTTTAGGGTTTGGGGTTTTAGGGCTGTTTGGGGGTGAGGCCATAATATAGGAGCCGAAAAACAGATTAACCAGATTTTTGTGCTGTAGTGCTGAAAAGCCCTATTGAGCCTGTGAGGGGCAGGCTTTGTAGAAACACGATGATTCCTGAAAAGACCCCTGTACTACTAAGAATTCAGACCTTTGCCTAAAGTGTCTTGGGTTGTCTCACCGGCCACTACTATTGTTGAACAAACTGCAGTAACATAGGGGCCTTAATAATTCGAATAAGGTCTTGGGGCCCGTTATACTACTAATTTTATATTAAGGAACCTCCAAAATAATGTTGGTAATCATTTAGGCCCTAAACCCTAAACCCTAAACCCTAAACCCTACATTATGCAGAACACGGGGTTCAGGTTTCACCAGGGCATCGACGGTAATCTAGGAGTTCGCCCATCAGCGCTGGACCATGGCCCTGGAGTCCTGGTGTAAGTGGTACTGTCATGTCCCCGTTGTGTCTTAAGGTTTAGGGTTTAGGGTTTAGGGTTTAGGGTTTAGGGTTTAGGGTTTAGGGTTTAGGGAAACCGTATCATAATGCTCCTACTTTTTCAACTGGCCTTGAAACCGACACCCCGAAGCCACACGACTCTCAGTTTGCCAGAACAAACACAACGCGGAGCTCTTGCTGGAGAAGCCCTCTAAAGCCCTAAAGCCCTAAACCCTAAACCCTAAACCCTCTAAAGCCCAAAGCCCAAAGCCCAAGCACCCCCTGTGGCCCAGAGGCTGAGGAGGGGGACGGAGAGCTCGCCGTTAATATCAGCTCCCGCCTCCGCATTTAATGGCTCCTTAAATCTCTTGGTTCCTTACTTGGAGGATCATGGGACTTAGTAAGTAAAGTTATAAGTACCCTGGTTGGGGTTATAATTTTTAGCTACCTTGTTTTTAACCCTAGTTACTAAGTCCCATTTTCCTCCAATTGGTGTTGAGTGCAGGTGTTTTACAGGGATAGCAACGTATCATCAGGTTTCTTCGGGCGTATCAGTAGCTAAAGGTTTAGCCACCTTTATGTAATATCTATCCCCTGATTTTTCCAGCGACACTGGGGATCAAAATGGACGAAAAGCCGTGTTTCGGGTCTACTGTCTAGGGCATAGAGTTTGGATTCAATTCTTGGTTTCTCACATCCCACAAGTTTCCAGAAACGGTATCTGCCTGGATCAGCTCGGCAACAACCGCCGCCGAGCCGCCGCCCTGTTGAGATTCGAGACATGGTTGAACTTTTTGGTTAAGGATTAGGGTTTAGGGTTTAGGGTTTAGGGTTTGCGGATTAGTGGGTCACAGTAGTACTTACAGTTGGCGGCATGCCAATCGACCCTTTCATGCAAGATGGTTTTGCGCCTGTCGGCAACGACCAAGACACGCTTTTTGGGGAGGGAGTTTCCAGGCTTCCGAAGCCTCGGCTAAACCACTAAACCCTAAAGCCTAAATCCTAAACCCTAAATCCCTAAACCCTAAATCCCTAAAATCCTAAACCCTAAATCCTAAACCCCAAACCCTAAACCCTAAAACCTAAACCCTCTTCGGGCTTTGCGGGGCCGGCGGGATGGGGGTCGAAAGGCCCCTGGTGATCCAAAACTTCGAGATTTTCAAACCCCCGAAGTTGAGGAATGCAAAGGATCCCCAGAGAGCCCATTTAGGGTTTAGGGTTTAGGGTTTAGGGTTTAGGGTTTAGGGTTTAGGGCCAATACCCCTTAAAAACGGAATGTACCTTAAATCGATATACCTGGAATCGTAATATAAGTAATATATTAAGGCCCGTAAAACAAAAGTATATTCCTTAATGAAGGGGCATTGGGTTCTCTGGGATCCGGGATTTCAGGTGCCGGCTTAGGGCTTTATCTGATCTAGGAATTAGGGTCTAGAGTTCAGGGTTTATGACTCTGTCTAGGGTTTGGAGTTCAGGGCTTATGGCTCTATCTGATCCGGGAACTAGGCTTTGGAGTTCAGGGTTCATGGCTCTATCTGATCCATGAACTGGTAGGGTTTAGGGTTTAGGGTTTAGGGTTTAGGGTTTAGGGTTTATGGCTCTATCTGATCCAGGAATTACCTGAACCCTATGAACCCTACCTTCTTGGTGTTCCTCATGATGAGGAGGTTTTCCAGGGTCCAGGTAAGGGTTCGGGTTTTGGGTTTTGGGGTGTTGGGCTTTCGGTTGTATCATGCAGAATGCCGTCAGTTACTGCAAGGGTTACTCAAGGGGTTGAGCATAGGTGTCTTAATCCCTGGCCCGCAACCCTGAACCCTAAACCCTAAACCCTTTTTAGCTTAAGGGTTTACATGGGCGTCAGAAGGCTTCAAGGTTCGGGGTGTAGGGTTTAGGGTTTGGGGGCTTTTGGGGTTTGAGGTTTAGGGTCAATAGAAAGCCAAATAGCTCACCGCCCACAGCACTGGAATCAAAAAAATGCTTGTGGTGCAGGTGGACTGCTTTGAGTAGACAGAAGTCGCTGAAGGAAAACTACTGCAAACTCGAACAGACCCCAAACATGAGCGTTAGACTTTAGACTTTGGACATGACCTTAGTCTCATAGATGAGAGAAGCCACGAATCAAAAGCAAGGCACCACCGAAGGCTTCGGTGGCAAAGTAAACCAAATCAAAAAAACTAAACCCCAAAGCCTAAACTCCCTCGACCTACACCCTAAACCCTAAATCCTAAACTCCCTAGACTTGCACCCGAAACCCGACAGCTTGAACCCACCCGCGGAACCTGCGAAGTCCCTCAGAAAATCTCGCGCCGAAAGAATCGACTAAGGTTCCCTTACAGTAGAGGTTTAGGGTTTAGGGTTTAGGGTTTAGGGTTTAGGGTTTAGGGTTTAGGGTTTAGGGTTTAGGGTTTAGGGTTGGAAACCCAATAGCCTCAATCTTTAAGAGTGATGTATAGGGAATCCCAGCACTATTTGTCCTTAATCCGGTTTCCAACTTTTTGGGGTTTCCTGTACAAGTTCCCTTAAAGGGTTTCGGGTTTAGGGCTGCAGTAAGGGTTTCTAGTTTAGGGTTCCCTTAAAGGGATTTCGGGTGTAGGGCTGCTTTAGGGCTTAGGGTTGCTTTAGGGGTTTAGGGTTTAGGGTTGCTTTAAGGGTTTGGGCTTTCGGGTTTAGCTTTAGGGTTTAGGGTTCCTTCACGGGTTCCTTTCAGAGTTTGGGGTTTAGGGTTCCGTTAACGGGCTCTCTATAAGGGTTGCTTTAAGGAGGTTCTATGGTATAGGTTCCTCGATACCTAGACAAAAGTTCTGAGATATATCATACCTTGGCTGACTTCTGAACCCCTCCAAAAAGTTAAACTTTTAGTCTCCTTATTATAGTTCATATGGAAACCCAAAAAGTTAAAGTCCTAAGAGCCAGCCAGAAGAACACCAAGAATACTGTACTTACGAAAAGGAACCTTGAAAGCGCTTACAATGATTATTTGAGCCCTAGACCCTAAACCCTAAACCCTAAACCCTAAACCCTAAACCCTAAACCCTAAAACCCTAGACCCTAAACCCCTAAACCCTACGTTACAAAGCGCTCCGAGTCTGGAGCAAGGCTCTTTTCAAAATCCAGGGTTTAGGGCTTATATAGGGTTTAGCGTTTAGGGTTTAGGGTTTAGGGTTTAGGGTTCAGCAGCTCCAGTTCGGGAAGTCTCCTGTCGAGTTTAGGGTTGAGGGTTTAGGGCTCAAGGTTTAGCCCATGGAGCCCAAACCAACCTAAGCTTCGGACTCTTCTAAATCCCTGCCCCAGTTCCCAGCTCCAAACCCCTGTGAAGCCCAAAAGCCTCAGACCCTTAAGCCCTTGAACCCTAAACCCTAAACCCTAAACCCTAAACCCTAAACCCTAAACCCTAAACCCTAAACCCTAAACCCTAAAACCCTAAACCCTCACATCCTCGACCCTGAACTCCCAAACCCTAAACCCTAAACCCCAGACCCTAAATCCCAAACCCTAAACCCAAACCTCAAGGAAAGGACGAGCAAGGGATTCCGGAAAGTTCAACAGAAGTCATCAACAAGGTACCCTGAAGTCCTGAAGTACGGAATCATCATGAAGGGTCCATAAGGCTAAGCCCTAAACCCTGCCCCGACTGGACAAAAGAAGAAGAACAAATAAGAAGAAGAAGAAGAGTTTAGGGTTTAGGGTTTAGGGTTTTGGATTTAAGAAGAAGAAACCCTGACGTTAAGACCCTCAACCCCACCCTAAACTCCTAAACCCGGAAAGCGTCCTGGAGGAGCGCTGCGTGCAATCCGCAAGTGAGCTCCTTCTGCGACACCGCAGACATGAGCTCCTGCCCATAGGGCTTAGGGGTTTAGGGTTTAGGGTTTAGGGTTTAGGGTTTAGGGTTTAGGGTTTAGGTTTTAGGGGTTTAGGGGTTTAGGGGTTTAGGGGTTTAGGGTTGAGGAAATCTGCTCAGAGACCCACTATAGTACTATGGAATCCTTTCTATGGTAGCTTGTAACAACAATCCAGGAGATTATCTACCCGGACCCTGAATAACCTCGCATTTAGGGATCAGGGTCTACCGGTTCAGGGTTTAGGGTTTACAGGTTCAGGGGTTCAGGGCTTCAGGCTACCTCTTTAAAATTCCTTCCTTTGTATATTTTCCTTATTCAAGTCATTAATACGGCAGGGCTTTTTATTTGCTCGGGTTAGGCTTCGGCGTGCCGGGATTCGCATTTAGGACTTAGTAGGGTCATAGCGTTACAAGGTCTAAGGCTATAAGACCCTAAACCCTAAACCGTAAAGGGTGGCTTTGATTCGGGGGGTTTGCTCTAAGGATATATGTTGACGGGACTTTGGGTTTCGGGATTCTGGATGTCTCCGGATTTGGAGTCAAAAAATCAAAACTAGAGCCTTAACGATAGGGCTTACGGGCTTAAGGGTCTGTAACCACGGTTTTGCGAAGAAACCTCTAGGAAAGGTATTAATTTATACTACTTGTTCAAGCTTCTCAAGTATGGGTTGTCGGGTGTTTGCGAATTTGGGGTTGGGGTACGTTTTAGGATTTCTAAACCCTAAACCCTAAACCCTAAACTCTCTAAACCCTAAACCCTAAACCCTAAACCCGAAGGCTTGGGGAGGGGTGCAGATTTCGGGATGAGAGCTCCGCTGTCGCAAGGCTATTTTAAAAAAACGGCACAGCATCTCCAAGCTCTGCAATGTTCCAGCAAGAATGGGGGTTTAAGGTTTAGGGTTTAGGGTTTAGGGTTTAGGGCTTAGGGTTTAGGGTTTAGGGTTTAGGGTTTTGGGTTTTGGGTTCAGCAGCTCTGGATCGAGCAGTTTCACAGTAAATGTAGATTCACGATTTAGACATAATTCCCACCCACCCTGGAATCCCACAACATTCGAAAATAAAAAAACTCATTCACTTCAACCAGCTTCATTTCCGGGAGGTTTAAATCCTAAATCCACAAATTGTTTACGGTTCGGACTAGAGTTCGGACTATTATCTAAGGTTCTAACCATTACTTTTAAGGTTTGGACTACTATTTTAGGGTTCGGACTATTATTTTAGGGTTCGGACTATTGTTTTCGGGTTCGGACTATTTTTTAGGGTTGGTCTTCCACAATTGTTGCTCGATACGTCAAGTACAGTATTTCATAGAATAGCACGTCCCACAATGAAATGAAACTTGCCTCGACCACGAAATTTTAGGCAAACTTGCCTCGACCACGA